CACACACATACATATATCTTTGTCTCTCGCTCTGTCTCGATGCTTGCCTCTCTGTGCTTTCCCCTCCCTTTGTCTTGTCTATTTCAGTACACCGTCGGATCTGTGTTAAAAGGAAACCGAACCAAACCACCCCCCACCAAAAAAAAAACCCACCAAAAAAACAACAACAACCAAACAAAAACCAGGAAAAAAAGACATACGTCCAAAACTCAAAACAACCAAAGCAAGACAAAACAATAAAACTAAAGAAACAAAATAATAAATCAATTTAAACAAAGCATTCCTACCCTTAAAATAACACCCAACAAAAGACACCCCCCCCCCCTCCCCACTCACATATACACACTCAAACAGATATATACGAAAGCAACAACATAACATGCGCCACAAAAAGAACTAAATCTATGTCTTTAAAAAAGACAGTGCAAAAGATTCCAAGTCCCCAGAGACCACCCTCGTCTCAATCTGGCCCCAATCCCCGGTACCGCTTGCCATCCGTCCACCCAGCCAGCCAGTCAGCTCGAGACATATCGAAGGTCGAGAACCCCGCTCGAAACAGACTATCGACAGCCACACGCGCAATCGACCGGCTGCTTGTCTGTCCACCCAACGCCACTATCGTCGCCGGCGGCGGTGTCCGTCCGCCCGTCCGTCCGTTGATCCGTCTGTCCGCTCTGGCTAACTGTTGCACGCGCTTACTCACACCACGTCTCTCTCCGTCCGTCCGTCCGTCCGTCCGTCCGCCTCGTTAACTGTTGCACGTGCGGCATACTGACGCCTCATCTCCCGCCGCCCTCTATTTTGGCTAACTGTTGCACGCGCCTCGACGTACTCACTCACGCCGAGTCGTTCTCCGCCACCCTACGCCTTGGCGAACTGTTACTCACTCGCGCCACAAGTCTCTAAACGCCGCCACCGTCCTCCGCCTCGCGCCATCGTATTCCTCGACGTTTAGGAGAGGCCCGCGCTAGTAATAGTGAGTAGATAGGAGCGTAGCTAAGTCTTAGTATAAGGCGAGCGACAAACGCCACCTCCACCCCCCGCGCACTGTGAGCGGAAGGAAGGAACCCCGGGTGGCGTGTAAGTAACTCTGGGTGGAGCTTGCTACGGTTACTACTACCGTCTAGTTGTCATCACCGTCCGCCGCCTGCCCCCGTGCTTCTTGCGGGGCCGAGTGTGTGAGTGAGTGAGTGAGTGAGTCGCGTGCGGGATCGTTTGTCCCTAGGAATCCTTCTGGATGAGGAATGTGGGTGAAGGCACGGGGCGATGTCAAATGTGATGGTAATAGAGATACTGATGATGTACACGCTTTCTTCTCGCTGTGATGTTAGATAGTGAGGAGCGGCAGTGATATCACATAAAGTGGTGGAAGTAGTGATGGAGTATAGAGCTCACTGTTCGCTATGTTTGTGAGATAGAGAAGAGAGACAGTGATATCGCAGGGAATTATGCAAATAGTGAGTACCGGATTGTGTAGGCTTACTTTTTGCAATGATTGTGGTCGTGAGGAGAGACGAAACGAAGCCTTATGTTGTAAGAGTGACGATTCAAACGTACGTTTCAAAGTACGTCAGCTTATACTCTTCCCATTGCCGCGTTTATGGGGGGAAAATGAGTTGAAGCCCCAAGGTCAAAATTCGTCGTGCTGATGATTCTCAGTGAAGACATGTGAAGATCGAAGTGGTATTATAGTAATTGTTGGAAAACAATAAATAAGTAAAAAGAAGGAAAAATCAAGCGTGCAAGTCACTTTCACGATAGTTCTTGATACATACGAAGTAAGGTCAAGGCTACAGACAGCGACAGATTTTGTCTACTTTATGTTAAAGTTTTAGCGCCTGTAAAGTAGCAGCTTGCACTGTATGCTTCCCAGGGATTTGAGAATGTTTAAGAATGCTCTCAGGTCTGCTTGGAGTAAAGAACGCTGTGCGTGGAGCTTGTTGTTGAGCAGGGAATTTGCGCTATTTTTTTGTTATTAAAGGTAGATAACAGAGATTAATTTAAAAAACATGAATGTACTAACTACCGCGAGTAAGAAAGTAAATAAAGGATGGAAAGCAGGTGCGTTGTAATCGATAGTCTGAATACCGGTGGCCTTGAACAACATACTATATGACCTTGCTACCGCGCCAAGTGTGTATCGTTGTCAGGTTTACGGAAACTTTTATACCGGTGTATATGGTGTAACGGCAAGGCGCTTGTCCGTCGCATACGAGAGACATGAGTTCGATTCGTGCGTGTGGAGAATTTTTATCCTGTGTGTCAGATAATAATAATAATAATAA